GAGACAGGAGTGGTTGGGAATGCTGGAAGAGGGAGGAATAACTCCAGTTAATCCTTAATCAGGAGAGGTCATTAAGCCCTTCCTAGTTTTGGCTGGGTCCCACAAATGATCCCAAACAGGCTCTGGATTTGGCTTTTCCCTCTAAAATCCAGGATATCTGGGAGCTGGTGATCTGCCAAAACAGGTTCTGCTTGTCTGTGGGTGATGTTCAATCTAGGGAGGGAACAAGGAATAAATCCCAGCATTAGATAACTAAAGGCTGGAGCAATAAATTCCCAGATTTTTGGGCCACCCAGCAGTTTTTCCCCTTGGCTTTAGCTAAATCATGGAATGACAGGAAGAGGCAAAGCCTCTTTGGTCTGTATCGATCCCTGTGACAGCTCCAATCCTTTTCCATGAGTTACAACTCTCCAAAATCCCTTGCTCATCCCATTATTTCTTGTATTCCTGGCAACATTCCCAGCCAGGCATTGAAGTAATTCAGCTTCCAGCTGGGAATAAAGGGCTGGAATTGTCCTAGTGGTGTCCTGGGCAGGGTGGGGGGATGAGGGATGGAGGTGGATCTGGGATCCGCAGCACATGGATATCATTTCTCAACACCCCCATGGGGCTGGGACACTCCCCATGGAGCTCTCCCTGTTTTTCCTGGCAGGAATTTCCTCAGGGATGTGATGTTTGCTGGTGGCTCTGAGAGTCCTTATGCCAAAGCCATGAGAGGACACATCACCCTGAGCCAGGTAGGACCTCCTGGAGCATCTCCTGAAGCTTGGATAGGGAAGGAGGGATGGGAACAGCTCCAGGATGGGTTGTGCCTGGGGTTTTTGGGGGGATACAGGGAGGTTCTGCAGGGAAAAGCTCCAAAGGGATAAATCCCAGCTGGAAGTTCATCTGGTTGTCCCATAAAAGATGTTCCTATAGATATACTGAGGACAATGAAGGAGAAGCTTCATTCCAGGAGAGGTTTGGATTGGACATTGGGGATGATTCCTTCATATAAAACCTTATGAAGCATTGGAATGGGATGTCCAGGGCAGGGGATGGAGCCACCAACCCTGGATGGACTCAAATCCATGTGGATGTGGCGCCTGGGGACGTGGTCAGTGCTGGGGAAATGGTTGGACTTGATCACCTCCAAGAGTTTCTCCAAGCTCCACAATTCCATGATTCCTTGCCTTTTCCAGCTGTTTTCCCAGGTGGATGAGGGCTGCAGGCAGCAGGCCCCCTCCTCAGGCATCTCCCTGCCCGACACCTTCTCGCTGGCCAGTGCCTTCCAGGAGCTAGTTGCCCAGGCGAGGCTCAGCGATGCCATCCTGCGTGCGGCCACCATCCTGCGCCGCAGCGGTGGGTGCTGAGGGACCATGGGGACAGCACAGACACATGCCTTGGTCCCACCATGGCATCTGAGCTGGGTCCACCATGGTGGGCTCTGCCATGAGGTGCTGGTTGGTTCTACCATGGGGTTATGGCTGGTCCCACTATGGCAGCTGGGTTGGGTCCGCTATGGTGGGTTCTACCATGAGGTGCTGCTTGATTCTAGCATGTGGTACTGGTTGGTTCTACCATGAGGTGCTGGTTGGTTCTACCATGGCATTTGGGTTGGGTCCATCATGGTGTGTTCTACCATGAGGTGCTGGTTGGTTCTACCAAGAGTTGCTGGTTGGTTCTAGCATGAGGTGCTGATTGGTTCTACCGTGAGGTGCTGGTTGGTTCTATCATGAGTTGCTGGTAGTTCTACCGTGAGGTGCTGGTTGGTCCTACCAAGAGGTTCTGGTTGGTTCTAGCATGAGGTGCTGGTTGGTTCTAGCATGAGGTGCTGGTTGGTCCCACCATGACATCTGGGTTGGTCCCACCATGGTGGGTTCTACCATGAGGTTCTGGTTGGTTCTATCATGAGGTGATGATTGGTTCCACCACAAGGTCCTGGTCAGTCCCACCACACTCCTGGTTGCTCCCACCATGTGTTCTCTGCTTGGTCCATCTCACTGACTCCATGTCAGTATTCCCAAGCTCTGGCTCAATCCCACCTGCCTTGGGAAGGTCAACCCTGGAGCTCCGACCTCCTGAACATCCTTTGACCTCCTGAGTGTCCTAGTGTGGAGAAACCTTCCAACCAGATCCCCAAATCCATGTCTGGGTGGGAGAGGGAGAATCCCAAGGCTCTCCAGAGATCTGGAGTGGGAATTCCACCCCTTCCCTAGGTCTGAAGACCTGTGTCCTCACCAACAACTGGGTGGATGACAGTGATGGGAGAGTCTTCACGGCACAGCTCATGGACCTTCTCCGAAGGCACTTCGACCTGGTCCTGGAATCCTGCAGGATTGGGATGATGAAACCTGATCCCAGGATCTACACCTACGCCCTGGAAGCTCTGAAGGCAAAGCCTCAGGAGGTACCACCATCATTCCCAAAGAGTTGGGCATGAAAGGTCCTTCCAGCCCCTAAATCCTTGGCTGAGGTGCCACCACCACTCCCAAAAAACAGGGGGTGGAAAGTCCCTCCAAGCTCCCAAATCCTTGGCTGAAGCCACCTGAAGTGCCACCATGATTCCCAAATAACTGGGCATGGAAAGTCCTTCCATCCCCAAAATCCTTGGCTGAAGCCAACAACTGTTCCCTGGAATGTGTCTCCAGGTGATCTTCCTGGATGACCTTGGGAAAAACCTGCAGCCAGCACGGGAGATGGGAATGGCCACGATCCTGGTCAGGGACACGGACAATGCCCTGAAGGAGCTGGAAAAGCTCTCAGGTGTCCAGGTATGGATGGAGAGATGGTTTGGATCTCCTCTGGCCTCTCCTGGGATTCCTGGAGATCCTAGTTTAAGGTGGTTGGGAGGAGCTGAGCTTGAAGATCATTCCATCCAAACCATTCCATGATTCCATGGATAGCTGGGAGGGATGGGCTGAGCTTCTGGGTCATGGATGTCCCACCAGCATCCAGGTGGGATGTCCATGGAGCTTCAGGATTGCTCATTCCATGTTCTTCACCCCAAAGCTTCTGAGCCAGGAGGAGCCAATCCCGACAGCCTGTGATCCATCAGATGTCACCCATGGATATGTGTCCATCCGGGTACGGATGAGGGAGATGCTCCAGCCATCCCAGGGGCTTTGGAATGCTGGGATGGAGAGGGTGGTGGGTTCTGGAATGCCAGGGTGGAGAGGAGTTGTGGACTCTGGAATTCTGAGATGAAGGGGCTGGAGGACTTGGGAGTTCCAGGCTGGAGGGGTGGGCTCAGGAATTCCAGGATAGAAGGAAGTTGTGGACTTTGGAATTCCAGGGTGGAAAGGAGCTGTGGGCTCTGGAATTCTGTGTTGGGGGGGGGGTGGTGGGCCT